TGCTAATGGACATTACAGATCTTCGTGGGGGACAGTGTATCACCTTTCCTTCACTCCTACCTTCCACATCCCACATCTCCCACCCCAGCCTCAAAGGAGATAATGCATATATGACTAAACGATACCCTTCCCAGCCCTTTCCAGTGTTATCCCTAGTACCAGCTTAAGAAGCACAATTTGGGAAACTGTTTTACACATATTACCCAGAAAGGTGCATGTGTTTCTGAGTTTAGATGTTAAAATGTTCTCATCCTTGTTGGAAAATATGGTGATCCTTAAAGTAGCATCTGAAAATTTAAAATATTAACATTTTCGTCCATGCAGTCTCTCTTGCCCAGTTCAAGCCCCCCCCCCCCCCACTCCTGGAAGACTTTTGTGGCCACTGTAGCCCATTGTCTTCTCCTTCCTCTTAGCTTCCATGGCACTGAAGATGTACATCACTCATCTCATTGTGGAATTTTTTTTCTCTTCAATTTATGTATTTCTAGTCTGTGGAGATACTCAGCCAGATTTAAAAAAAAAGCTTTAAAAACTCATGATAAACTACCATCAAATATCTAGAAAATGGTATAGTATGTATTTGTCAATTTATTCTCTAGAATTTATTCTCCTCTTAACAATAGTGCCCTGATTTTCCCTTAGGGAACTTACTCCCTCTCCATTTGTAGTTATTAATCTGGATGGGAATGAGCCCATCTCTGGCTCCAGGTTTAGTTCCCAGGTAGCTTGACTACTGTTCCTTCAGTCACAGTCACAGTCACAGTGATTGGATAATTGAGACCAATTAGATTTCAGATATTAGCTTATATGTCCAGGAATGGAAATTTCCTTTCTCTTTTATTGGACCTGCCAGAGGGAGCCCTTCTTGTTCTCTGCATGTGGGGTCTGGGATTATAACTGCTTCCTTTTCTTTCCACCTTAAGGAACGTGTTTGGAGCCACCAATGGGCTGCTGTGCAGATTTTGAGATTGAAACCACACTATAGAAAGAAAAGCAAAGAAAAAGGAGGAAAGCTAGGTCCTTGATGACTCTGTGTGTTTTACTGGATTGATCTTCACCAAGAGCCAGCTCTCCCTGTGACTTTTCTGGTTCATGTTCCCTTTGATGTTTTGTCAGATTGAGTTGGAGTTTCCCTCACTAGCGATGTAGAAAGTCCAACAAACTGATTGAAGCCACTGGTGGAAGGAAAATTCAACCACTTTTATACAGTCTCAGGGTAGATTAGGATCAATTTACTGAGTTATAAAGAGACATATTCCAATTCAAGCTAAAGAAGAAGTTGATGTGGTCGTGTACAACAGTGGAACAGACAGCTCTGAGAATCAGTGAGCTGCCTGGGCTGATCGGCATTTGTGCAGAATATTTCAGAGAAGGAATTTAAAATTAAATAGGACTTGGAAGAGAGGATCATTGACTAAAAATTGTGAATCACGATATTTTACATCTGAAACTTATATAATACTATGCATTAACTATACCACAAAAGACGGATCAATTCAAAGGGAAAAAAGTTGCCCCCAAAGTTCAACAAATAAATATCCTGTCTCTCTACCAAACACGTAAGCTCCTAGAAGTCAGGTTGCTCTCAGGTCTGCACCAACCTTGAAGTATCCACTTAGGTGATGAACAAACTTGGCCATCTGTCTCTTGAATATATTGGTGCTGTCTCCATATGCCTGTGTCTTCCCAAAGTGAGGGATTAAATTTCCTGTGAGATTTGACCCTTCAGAGTCATCCAGAACTTGAAGAAATAGTGGAAAATTTTGTGCAGTTATTACGAATAAATGGGAAGGAAGTGAAGGTGATAACGTGTTGTTAACATAATAGTAAAACAAAATAATGCAGGTAGAGAGCTTATCTCAATGCCTGGCACATGATACTCAATAAGTTACATATTATTGTTATTATTGTGATTCTGATTATTGTCCTGAGTCTACTCAAAAGACATCATAGAAGTGGAACTTTTATGAAATAGAATTATTTATGTATATCTTTGGGCCCACGCATGTGTATTACTGGATCTCTTCTAGAAATTCTCCTTCACATGTACCAGCTCAACCACAAGCTGCACTTGTGCTGATACAAAGAAGCAGCCAGATACACTGAGAAGAAAAGCACTGATGTTGAAGGTTAGAACTATGCGTCAAATTACAAATCTTCCTAACTGATTTTCAGTTAAACCTACTAAATTTCTGATCGTACCATTAAAAAAATTTGTCTTTATGACATGATAATTATTCCATTATTTGGTTCCCATCCATAATTAAGAGCAGTGAAAGAATATTGAGATCTACTCATCACTTCTTTGGGTAGGTTTAACACTTCTCATTGGTAATTTCTCCACCCCAAGAAGCAATTTTCCTTGAATCAAACAGGGAGCACATAGTTCACATAATTCTTCTATGAACAGGCTTCTTGTACAGTATAGTTTACACTGAAAAGGAAAATCCTGTGTTTACTAATCATCACTTACCTTTCAGCTTCCTTAGGTTACAGTGGCACAACTAGCCAACTGGAGGAAGAGTGAAGAACAGAATATTTATACAATTATACCTTGTTCCAACAGAATTTGAAAAGGTTGACATAGTAGAATAGAACCCTAACAATTTGGCTAGCCGATATTAAACACTGCTTGATTTGTTGTTGAATAATTTCCCTTCCTTTCAGATGTTTGGCAAATTCCTACTTTCCTACTTTTCTTTCAGATATTTGGCCAGTCTTACTAATATGACTAATATGATTGTTAATATTTGAAATTTTCATATGCTACTTTTGGGATCATCGTATCTCCCATAAGGGATGAGTAAATTTTAACATCTGAAATCAGTAGTGGCTATTATCTACTATTAATTATTCCCACCCCCTAAGCATTTATTTTAAAAATCAGGTTACAGAAGAGGAGAGAGGAACTCATCACTCTATAGGAAGTTCAGAAACCTTCCTCCCTGACTCCCTTTAGCTAATAGAAGAGAGGAGGTGAAGGGGAAGCATGGGGTTGATTACCATGCAGGCTGATAGATAATTCTGCTCAGTTGTTTATATTGACTAAAATCATTCCACCAGCTGTTCATTTATATACTTTGTGGTCAATTTATATAGCTTTAAAACACCAAGGTACAATCATAGCTTTTGTGTAAA